GCCCCCTCGCCGGGGGCCCAGGCCCCAACCCGCCCGGCGACGCGGAGAGCTCCTGCGAGCAGCTACCGGCCACTGCAGCTCAAGGAGAGGCTTCAACCCACATTTTGAAGGTCAGCTCCAGAGCTGCACCCAGGCAGAGGGGCCAGACAGCCCAGGAAGGCTGCAAACCCCCCTTGCTCCGGCTGGGAGAGGATTCCCCCCAACTGTGACACTGCACCGAGGGCGGGAAGCCTACGGAGAGGCGGCCCTGGTGCTCGGAGGCCGGTGCTGCCAAGGCCGGGCAGGAACCCGGCACAGCACGGAGGCCTCACGACACCTCTGGTTACTGTAACTTAGACGGGCACCCCAAGGGTCTAAATAAAGCCAGGGATCAGATGGCAGCCCAGAATACACCCGAGCCAGCCCCACGTTTCTGGCTGCGCCCCTCCAATGCGCTGCTCTGGAGCCTTCTAGAAAACAACCGCGGGGCCTCAGCCCCTGGGAAGCCTCCACGCAGGCTTTGTAAAACCCCAGGAAAGGTTCTTGCCGCCGGGCAGCCCTGCCCATGCAGCAGCACTGCGGGGCGGCAGGTTCTGCCCCTGGAGCGCCCGGGGGAACTGCTGGAGCAGGGAAGCGGCCGGGGCGATAGGGGGTTATACCCAACTGCTGCTGCTCTGGGCACAGCGGTAAATTATCCTCCTGGTTGTTGCGAGCAGCACAGAGGTGAGGGAGAGGAATGCTAAACAAACAGGAGTCCCATGTGATGTATCAGCGTCTCGGCGGAAAGACCCGCGGCGGGTTCTGTCAGCTCGCATTACTCTAATTGCTCTGCGACTCCCATCCCACTGGGTCACAGTTTGTTTCAATTTTTGCAGGGTCTCTCTGGCTGCTCCTTCACCTCTCTCCCCTTCAGGAGTTTGGAGTCTGTCAGGCTCCAAGCAACTCCTCATTAACTGACCATCGAGAAACCTTCCTCTCCCTTCCCCTTCTTTAAGGCACATTTATTTGTGTTTTACGGACCCCCCCTCCACATGTGCCAGGGGAGCTGAGCAGGCGCAGCCGCCTCTGCCCTCTCCTGGCCCATCACCCCAATGCCAGGAACTCCGGCCCCACAATACGGGGCCCAAAAGAACCAAATTCTGTCTCTCGGCCTCTATTGCAAATGGCACCAGGCAGTTTTATTTGCAATACAGAGCCAGGTCCTTCCTGTGGGATGGACAGATCCCATGAGCTGGCTTCCCACGTGCTGCAAGACGGAAGCAATGTGAGCATGCGGCTCCTTAGAGACTGTCTCCCAGCAGCAGCTCCAGGAACCAGGGGCTGCTTTTTGCTCCCATTTCCTTCCCGAGGTGCTGGTGCCCTCTCACCAGCCGGAGTCCTACACCCCCTGCAAACACCTGCGTGCTGGAACCTTCCGACCTCCTTCCTTACAACTACCCTCCAGGTTTCCTTACAGGTGCTGCATTTTCCCGAATGCTCCTTTCCTCCTCACTGCAGGCCTGGCCTTGTTGATCAGAATAGCATTTGACTGCACAAATATTGTCCCCGGGACCCCCTTCAGTCCAGGCCAAGCCTGGCACGCGAGTTCCTCAGCTACAGAAGGCTGGACTCAGGTCCTGCATTTCTGGTTTTAAGGTCACCTTTGCTTAGGTGACCTTAAGGTCACCTAAGCCCAGGCTGAGATATGGAGTGGTGGAAAGAAGACATTGGAGCTTTGAGTTTTGCCTGTCCCGAGGCCTTCAAAGGTCTTTAGTCAACAGGAAAAACAAGATCCCAGGAGATTCAGGCCAGATAAAACCCGGCCTTGTGCATTAAGCGCCGTTCGTCTGAGAACTGGGACTGCTGCAAGCGCCCGGAAGCACCGGGCACACGAGAAGCCCTTCCCACACGGAGCGAGTCCTGCTTGCTTGGACTTCCCTGCACAAATCACAGTTGTGTCACGTGCACCCCCAGTAAATGCCTTAAGATGTTCACTTTGTTTCTCAGTAACCTAATAACTCGCTTAGACTGTTCAAAGGCAAGTGTTAATTTAAACTTTATAAATCATACCTTGTTTTTAGAAGAGGAAAATGAGGGCCCTATTAAGCTCAAAGATTTAATAGTGACCTGAAACCTCCCCTAATAAAACTGCATGCTCCAAACCATATTTCTTTCCAGAAATGAAAACATTTAGAACGTTTTCCTGGCCACCAAGAGTTGAAAAATACATTTAACACTGCACTTAATCCCCATGGACTCAATGACCGGGCTAGTAAAGAGGCCCTTAGACTTCCTGCATATCTGCATATGCCTTCCTAAATAGCAGAAAGGAGAACTAGCTTTTCCCTGACAAAACTTGGAGCATTGTGTGTGTTTCCACCCATGCTGCTTGCAAATTTTGTTATTTTATATTTTAGAAAGCATTAAAAACTAGACATGCAAGATGAGTCCCAAGCTGGTGAGTGCAATCAGAAATTAAGAACAGCAATAATACTGCCATAGTAACATTAGGAACACTGACTTACCAGTACCAAAACTTTCCTCCCCACACAGGGACAGTTTGTTTGCATCCATCAAGTTCCCGAAGAACTTCCAGCCAGTGGGAGTTTCATACAGAGCAATCTTGGTAGCGTGGGCCACCCTTCAAAGGCAAGAAGCCCACGTCAGGTCACGCAAGGCTCTGAGCAAACCCACGCGAAATGGGGACTCGGCACGGGCTGTTTTGCTCTCCCAAAGGACAACTCATTGTGCAGCTGTCTTGTATTTTATCCCAGTGTTGTCTCTGGGGAGATGGCTGGGAAGTACAACTTAAAAATATATATATATAAATGCATATTTCTTCTAGAGCAAATTTTCAGTCATGGATCTCAAAGCACTTACGGTTAAATGTCACTATTGGATTTAAAAAAAAAAAAAAAGTGGGGAAGGGAATGACTTGTTTGGGCTTATGTCCTACCTGTCGAGCGCCCCGCTGGTGGGCATGCTCCGCGCGAAGCCGCGCACGCCGGTCTGCTGGAAGTAAGGGATGCTGAAAATATTGGCAGCGATGACGGCGACGGAGTCGGAGGGGTTCACGAAGAAGCCGTGTTTCCCAAGAATCATGTTCCGATCCTGGGGAGGGTGAGACAGAAATAACCCGGTGCCCAGATTTGCCTGCAAGGGCTGCAGTGGCTAAAGCGGTTCTGCTTCGCAGGCGCAGCCGAAA